TTATCTTGTGCTGCTAGGGCCAGATCATCTGCATACCCAAATTTACATCCCTTATAACTGGTATATCTGAGATATAAAGATGTGTGGGTGCCAATACAGAACCTTGTGGAAGGCTATTATGGAGTCTTCCTAACTTGATAACATTGTCCCCCATAATAATCGGAAAGAATCTATCGCTGAGCATGTTGTTTGTTAGGCGACAGAGGATTTTACAGAGATGATGTGACTCTATTTGTAAAGCAGATCCTTCTTCCACACGGTATCATATGCTGCTGTAAGGTTGATGAACACAGCTGTGATTTTTAAGCCTCAATGGAAACCAGCCCCAATATGTCCTGTCAGGCTCAGCACCTGATCAACCCAGCTGCGAATATGACGAAGGCTGGCTTGTTCCACTGGCAGAAATTGTGGGTTGGGTCCAGTTCTGTTTATGATACATTTCTCAAAAAATTTGTAACAAGTACTCAGAGGGCCAATGGGGTGGTAGATTTCTTCTTTGTCTTGTGGTTTGCCAGGTTTCAGAAGCAATATTACTATGGCTTTTTTTTGAATTCCAGTGGGAGGTGTCTGCTAGAAACTATGTTTGAAAAGAATTTGCTGAGCCAATTCCTTGTTAGTTAGATAATTCTTGAATTATCTAGATAGGACAGCTTGAATGTAGAAAATGTAAACATTCAACCATCGCTAACGGAAGGAGGTTAATTCACTTCTTAAAAGGAAGCAACTGTAAAAGCCCATTAAGGATTTGAAGAATGACTTGATGTAAATTCTGTAACATCTGTTCTACCTGGTGAGAGATTTTCCCATCTCATATGGTTGCCATAACAACAAAGAAATACTTCCTAGCCAAATAGATCCCCTTTCTAGAGGGTGCCTGACAACTAAGAGGAATTAAGATGGAGATTTTGAAGTGTTTAGAAAGGAGTGCAGAGGAGAACAGAAGAGATTGGAAGGAACTGAATCAAGAAGGAGTAATATGTCACAGAAGAGAATAAAATGCACAGGAAGATAGAGAGACAAAGAAGACAAGGAAATATAATTCATATATTCCCATATTTACCTAATAGAAACATTTGGTGCTAATAGTTAGCTTAGGCTTCTGATGTTCTGTTTTAATGGAATTTAGATTTTGAAGTTGCATAATAAAAAGAACATCGACTATTTTGATCTGTGGTATTTGGAGAAGATTCCAAAAATACCATACATAGCCGAAAAGAATTTTTAAAACTGAATGTTTCTCAACCTCAGCGACTTTAAGATTTGTGGACTTCAACTCACAGAATTTCCCAGCCAGCATGCAAGCAGGAGAATTTTGGGGGTTGATATCTTAAAATATCTGAAATTGAGAAACACTGAAACAGATCATGCAGCAAATCCAACCCATTCCCATTCAAGACACTAATAACCAGAGTCAAATTATCCTATTTTAGATGTCTTCTAAACAACCTTGAGAAGTCTATGATACTGGAGAAACCAGAGAGAAAGAAAAGGAGAGGACAATTTGCATTAAAGTGGATGGACTCAATTACAGTGGCAAGTGTTGCACGATTGGAAGATCTCAAGGACCAAATTAGGGATAGATTATCCTAGAGAAAAACTGTGTAGCTATTAAAAGTCAGTGCGGATATGACAGCATATAATCAATCAAACACTCAGTGAGCAATGCTGGGAAAGACTCTCCAAATTAAATTTTAATAAAATCTGAATTTCAATAACTGGGGAGTTGCCCAGAGTTTGATATAAGATGGGAGGCTATAAAAATGCTTTAAATAAATAGGTTTTTAAAATTCAATTTTTTCTATAATCATTGAACATAAAAGATAGAATAACAAGATTGGAAGGGAACTTGTAGGTTTTCTAATCTAACCACTTCTTGAGCAGAAGACCAATACCATTTCAAGCAAATAGTTGTCCAATCTCTTTTTTAAAACCATGGAAAACCTACAAGTTCTGGAGGCAAGCTGTTTCACTAATTAATTGTTCTTACTGTCAGGAAATTTATCCCTAATTCTAGTCCTTTCTCCTAATTCTAGTCCAAAGCATCTGCCATCAGATGCTTTGGAGAATAGGTCAACTTCCTTTTCTCTGTGACTACCTCTCAAATATTGGAAAACTGCTATCATTTCATTTCTAGTCCTGGTCTTGTTAGACTAGACATACATAGTTCCTGCAAATGTTCATTGTATGGTTTAGTCTTCAAACTCCTTATCATTTTTGTTATTCTTTCCTGTGCTCTTTTTTAGCATCTCAAGATCTTTTTTATATCACAGTGATCAAAACTGGATGCAGTATTCCAATTTTGCAGTGTAGAATAGAATAGAGTAGAGTAGAGTAGAGTAGAGTAGAATAGAATAGAATAGAATAGAATAGAATAGAATAGAATAGAATA